ATAAATCCGGATTCTTCCATTTAGATAGAAACTTATCCATGGTGATCGGTAAATAAAAGTACCTAATAACAATAATCAAACAATAAATTCAATATTTCTAACAAATAAAGTTACAATTTTAAGATAAATATGTAAGATAAAATATGTCATTACCAAATTTTTAACAAATAAAGTTACAATTTTACTAATTAAATAATAATTTACAATTTTTACAAATTCTAACAATCATATTCATAAATTAATTATCAAAAAATCAAATAAAATTTTACAATAATCCAGTAGCCTGTAGCCAACAAATTAATGTTATAAAAAATAATCAAATAAAAAATACAAACATATCAATAATTAATATTTAAACTCACTAAATTTCTAACAATTGACAAATAAAGTTATAGTTACACTAATTAAACTAACATTTTACAATTTTACAAACTCTAACTTAAAATATAACAATTAACAAGTCAATTAACATTTTTATAAATAAATTTAAAAAATTAGTTGAAATTTGTAAAACTACACTTTTAAATTAATGGAGAAAAAAAAACACAAATACCGGAGAAGTTGGAGTCGCCGGCGCTGGAGTTGGAAGCCAGAACGGCGAGGGCGGCGGCCGGACGGCCGGGAGACAGGTGGGCAGCGCCGCAGCGGCAAGAGGAGGGTTGGAGGGGGAAGGGGTTAGGTTTTGTTATTTGATATAATTTGGTAAGATTTGTGTTAATTTTTTGAATAGAATCAGATAAAATCCCGTCTGGCCGTCTCCTCCATTAATTGGGCTTCCCCTATGGGCCTAATGTGTTAATATTTTTTAACAGAATAAATGGCCTGTAAATGGGCTTAAATGTATTAAAAAAAAACAGACGGGGAGAGCTTCTTCTCCATCCCTGACTCCCTCTCCCTGTGCGCAGATTTCATGGAAGGGCGCCGCCTCCGGCCGGCGACTTCGGCCCCTATACCTATTAAAAAAAAATTATGGGATGGCCAAGGCCACTCCTTGCCATAGCGTGGTTTCGCCCCTGGCTAAGACCGATGAGCACTTCAAGGTATCTCTTATATTCCCTTTTGCAATAGTGTATAGATCGAAAATGAAAAAATAAGGTGGACAGCATGATTGTTGATGTACTTGTATTTCATATTTATTGTTACAGACTGCATACATGGAAGCTGAACAAGCTATTCTTAAGTTACATAATCTGATGGACCATGACATTCTCAAGTGTAGTAAGATTGCCTTTGAACTCTCTTACCTGCTTTCATGAAAAATAGAAAATAGTTGGGAGGGTGATGTTGAGAATCGGATGGTATTCCATTATATGGATCCCAGCCCTAAGCCCTAGGGTAAGGGTGAGAAGGCAGAGATATACACTGACATGCCTGATGGCCAGAGGGTATCAAAACCTCTGAAAATAGAAAGAGGGAATTGGGGGGATCTAAACATGATAGATGAGGTTATGAAAACGGAGTTGTTCGAATTTCACATAGCGTCAAGTGGAAAGCTTATGAAAGATTACGTCTGGGATAAACATGGGGTGCATATGTTCTTTTCGAAACTCGAGTATTTCTCGTTGTCACTAATTATGTCTCATTTGCTAAATCCAACAATGGGAATTCCACTGAATAAAGTAATCAAAGCATCAGAGGCTCATACTATAGCCGCCAGCACGTTGCTTAGTTTGAAAATTGGCAACGCGTTATGTTTTACAAAGACGAGTTTAAGAATAGAGGTTGTAGAATGTTCGTATTCGACAGCAAAAATTATTAAGGCGATCAAGTTTTATTTGGATAAACGGTTTGGGAATGGGAAGGAGCCCGAAAGTCCACATTTCAAGGGTTGCGACTCAAATGACGATGTCATATTACTGGCCTTCGAAAAGGTACGTTAAATTCTTTGAAGATTATCGTTTTTACTTTTTTTTACTATTTTATTCACTTATTTATTAACTTTCTGCAGGGGAGTTTAATAACTCCAGGTACCGGTCTCGAGGAGACTCTTAAAATGGAACTCGAGGTACTGAAGTCGTGGTTTTAATGAATGTAAATCAATAATATAAATATTATTAAATATGCAATACCTTGTGCAGCGACATAAATCTTCTATCAGTCTAGTGGATGCTGTGGATGCTGCATCCAGATGATACTATTGAGGCATCACCTCTAGAGACAACTTATGGAGGGAAGCTGACAAAGGCAGGAGAGAACTTATGGAGGCATCACCTCTAGAGACAACTTAAGGATGACCACCTAGCAAATTCTGAAGAGAATCTTGTTCCCGAGTCTGGAGGGAATCTGACAGGAGAAGCTGTGCTCGATATTCAGGTGGGACTCCTTTACTTGTTCTATTTAACTTACTTTAGACATCCCTGGGAAATTAAGAGAGATATATAAATCAATATTTAATTACGATGTCATATTACTGGGAAAATAAGAGAGATAGGTAAATCAATATTTAATTACGATGTCATATCAGGTACCGGTCTCGAGGAGACTCTTAAAATGGAACTCGAGGTACTGAAGTCGTTGTTTTATTGTATGTAAATCAATAATATAAATATTATTAATTCTTGTTTTCATACTATATCAGCCAGCATATGTGTATTACTGTATTACTGTATCATGGATAGATTTCGTCAAATTAAACATGCAATGCCTTGTGCAGCGAACTAAATCTTCCATAAGTCCAGCACCTCTAGAGCCATATTATGATATAAAGATTAAAGATGACCTATCAAATTATGAGGAGAATCTTGTTCCCGAGTCTGGAGGCAGCTGACAGGAGAAGCCGTGCTCGATATTCAGGTGGCCTTGATAAAAAAAAAAAATTGTTGTAAATTTTAGTATGGTTTGATTTTTTAAATTGAGGTGAGAACAAATGAGATGGGTAAATGGTATAATTTTTTAGCCGTAGTTGTTGATCCTCTCAGGGCTCAGCAAACTTGAAGTGAAGAGATCCTTAGGGCAGATGTAAGATCTGCATAAATATCATTTATATCATTTCAGATAAAAAATTATTCTCAAAATTATACCATTTACCCATCTCATTTGTTCTCACCTCAATTTTAAAAATCAAACCATACTAAAATTTTCAACAAAATTTATTTTTTATCAAGACCACCTGAATATTGAACACGGCTTCCAGACTCGGGAACAAGATTCTCCTCATAATTTGATAGGTCATCCTTAATCTTTATATCATAATTTGGCTCTAGAGGTGCTGGACTTATGGAAGATTTAGGTCGCTGCACAAGGCATTGCATGTTTAATTTGACGAAATCTATCCAAGATACAGTAATACACATATGCTGGCTGATATAGTATAAAAACAAGAATTAATAATATTTATATTATTAATTTACATACAATAAAACAACAACTTCAGTACCTCGAGTTCCATTTTAAGAGTCTCCTCGAGACCGGTACCTGGAGTTATTAAACTCAGGTTAACAAATAAGTCGATAAAATAGTAAAAAAAGAAAAAAACGAATATGACATCGTAATTAAATATTGGTTTACATATCTCTCTTAATTTCCCAGTAATATGACATCGTAATTAAATATTGATTTACCTATCTCTCTTAATTTCCTAGGGATGTCTAAAGTAAGTTAAATAGAACAAGTAAAGGAGTCCCACCTGAATATCGAGCACAGCTTCTCCTGTCTTTGTCAACTTCCCTCTAGACTCGGGAACAAGATTCTCTTCAGAATTTGTAGGTGGTCATCCTTAATCTTTATATCATAAGTTGTCTCTAGAGGTGATGCCTCAATAGCATCATCTGGATGGGATGGATGGGATGGATGGGATGCACTGGATGGGATGGATGGGATGCACTGGACTGATAGAAGATTTATGTCGCTGCACAAGGCATTGCATATTTAATAATATTTATATTATTGATTTACATTTAATAAAACCACGACTTCAGTACCTCGAGTTCCATTTTAAGAGTCTCCTCGAGACCGATACCTGGAGTTATTAAACTCCCCTGCAGAAAGTTAATAAATAAGTGAATAAAATAGTAAAAAAAAGTAAAAACGATAATCTTCAAAAAATTTAACGTACCTTTTCGAAGGCCAGTAATATGACATCGTCATTTTCGGGCTCCTTCCCATTCTCAAACCGTTTATCCAAATAAAACTTGATCGCCTTAATAATTTTTGCTGTCGAATACGAACATTCTACAACTTCTATTCTTAAACTCGTCTTTGTAAAACATAATGCGTTGCCAATTTTCAAACTAAGCAACGTGCTGGCGGCTATAGTATGAGCCTCTGATGCTTTGATTACTTTATTCAGTGGAATTCCCATTGTTGGATTTAGCAAATGAGAC